AAGTTTTGTAAACTAGTATCATCGGTCACAAGCCACCCTACATTTATAAAGTATATTTATAGAACTATGGATGAGAAGCAGGACCGCAAATAACGGGAGGCTGTGGGAGGGTATGCAGCACCCGAATAATTGAAATAGCTGTTGTTATTTTATCTGTTATTTCTCGCACAAAATTTTTTTTATCAATTTAACACTATCTTAGAGAGAGAAATTTTGTTTTACACCCCACCCCTCCTAATGTTCGGCTTCTATTTGCGACCCTGATGAGAAGTGTCACAATTAGAGCGAGGTATGTTCAATAGATAAGCATTTCGAGCCGTATCTTAGGCCGTGTTCTGAAGTCTCCAGTCCTCAAAAAAACGTAGACTTGTCCAATCGTTCTCACATATTATTGTTTGAACGACACTATTGAAATGTTAAAGCTTATCTTTATTCGTAAATATCTGATATACTATATCAGATAATTGTTTTCTAAATTTTTTCTTCGAGTTACAATAAAATTCGTTACAAAATCAGAGAAATACAACCAAATATTATACGGTACAGCATCGTACTAATGAGGCATAAGGTCTCAAGTTTTGAAAATTTAAGTGCCATTGAGTATGTATCAGGCAGACTTTTATCCCAAGAAGATACAGTAGTTGAAATACGAGCTTTCTATATTAAAACAAGTTTTTCACAATCATGTGTGATACAGCTGTTGTATCTATTTTTAAACTCTTAACAAAATTACACTTCTTATGAAAGAATTTATAATGCTCTATACTTAAGTAAAATATGATGACCTATCTGAATACCCTAGAAATTTCAACTTGAAAAGAAGCTAGAAAACAATTGAATGTTTTTGCATATCGATTTCATATTTTAGCTTCTAGAGTCATTTAAGACTCAGCTGGTTCTAATACCAATAAATCAAACTTGAAATAGATTTTTTTTCAAAAGTCACTTTTCCACATACATCTATTGGCCTTGAAAACAGTAAAACAAAAAAGTAGCCTTGAAAACACAATTTTCGTCGTATCGATTGACATACTGTTTTCACTCTAAATGATGACCCATCTGCAGCAGAGATTCTGCTTAGCAAGAAATAGTTGCTACAAATTTCAGACTCATCTTAAAAGAAAGTACATGGAGTTCTGTTCATAAAAATGTCCTTAGAAACATTGAGATATATCAGCAAGATATGTCAGAAGCAGGGTCGACATTATCGTATTTATATGACAACGAAGCCCAGAGTCAAACCATGTTCTCGATAACCAGATATAACCAAGAACTAATTCTTTTATCGAATGTTCTACTAATAAGTACTGTTAAAGTGACATGTACAAGGAAAAGCTAAACTTTTTTCATAGATTGATTACAGAGCGCATTGTAGATTTATGAATAACTCAAAAATAACCTTAACGGATCCCCCAAGCAGAGAAAAGTTGATTTCATTTTATTGTGTGAACTAATAAATTACAGCGTTTATCTGAACGGCTTTTTCGAAAAAAATAGATTTTAGAGGATTTTTGAAATTCTCTTTTGACAAAAAGAGTTATGGGGTTTCTTTCTGAGAGTTAAAAATCATTTCATGAGTTTACCCTTCCAGCATGTATGATCTATCATCATATCGTTCAAAATAACCCAACATAACAGTAGAGCCCTGCAGGTTAAACCTAACTTAACCTAACCTATAGGTTCTATAGTAAATATAACTAAATTTTTTATAGGTTAGGTTGTAGATTGCGCCATTGATAATCTATTTTTAACCTGAACGAAAAAAACGATTTTGAACCATCACATTAACCCTTGACAGCTGTTCTCGTTTTTGGACTTCAGAGATCCGATTGGACCTATACTGGAACGTATGGGAGAAGTTCAAGCTTTTTACTATTTGATTGAAGCTTTTCATGCATGGATCAATGGTCTACATCACGCTCCTTCTAGGCGTGAATATGTTGATACTGATGCAGGGGATGTAAACGTATATTATTTAAAAGACATTTTTGGGAAAGGTTTTATAATTAGATATGCACCAGTTTTTAACTGGTGTTGGAGCATCCGGGAAAATTTCTATACATCACTTATCAAGATTCGCTCATAGCTGCGGAAGGTCTCGTTTTGTAGAAAATTGTTTGCTCTACCAAAACGACGACAGAGGGCGGCTCTAGCACGGCTGGAAATCGTAAATATAACACTATGGTTGTTATCGGGTCCATGTGGACCCACATTCCGGTTTTTTTGTCTGTGAGACTCATTCACGAGACTTGATATAGGTAGTGTGCATGGATAGAAGATTGACGATTAGGAAAGAGAGCAGCTCGAAAGAGATGTATACTGCCGAGTAAGAAACAGAAAACTTCACAGTGGATCCAACTGGACCCCCAAACAGCTGTCAAGGGTGAAAACAGCCAATACTTTGAGTAATAAAGCGCAGTTCGAGTGAAATTTTATCGGTTGAGGATAAAGGTCAGACTGAGGTTCTCTAGTTCAAACTGAACTATTTTTAAACTGAAAAATAGCACAATCAAAAAAGGAAGTACAGAGAAAAACTTCCGTTTGCTAAAAATAGATAGCGAATACACAATTTTGTTTTCGTAGGGGCAATATTTTCAGTAAAAAACTAAGGGCAACAGCGGCTACTAGATATGCCATTAGTAATTGAATAAAAAATATATATTTAATTAAAATGAGCACAAAGACAGTTTACATACATAGAAATTGACGTTTCGAAATTTAAAATGTCATTATCAAGATCTTGATAATGAAATTTTAAATTTCGAAACGTTTTTCTCTTAGCTTTTTACTGAGAATAACACAGCAATAATAGAACCTTCGTAGCATCGAGAGCCTAAAGCGGAATTCTTAAGAGGGTCTCCGTATTTAGAAAGCTATTTTCCAAAGATTGCATTAAAGAATAAAAGACTCAACTGATTCATTTCTATATTCATATAAAATGGGATTTATTTCGTATACGTTTACCTATCAGACGATGTTTATATAAGAACCAATAACAATATGGAACAAAACTGAAGTTTAGGCTTCTGAAAACAGGTTTTGGGAAAAATTGCATAGGTTGTATTAGGTTAACCTAGATTAGATTACGAAAAACATTAATAGGTTAGATTAGATTTAGGTTACGAGTTTCATAGATTAGGTTAGGTTTAGGTTGTCAAAAAGTCGTAACCTGCAGGGCTCTACGTAGCAGAGCGCAAACAACAGAATTATCCGTTTTTGTTAGAGACAGGTAGCAAAACTACATAGCTAATAGAGCCGAGTTTTTTTTACGAAGAATTTTTACGAGTTTTCAAGTTCGCTTAGGTTGACGGGATATGTGTTCACGTTCATTGAAAACCATCTCAACACTTAGTTCACTTAACCGGAAAACAATTTGTTTTTAGAAAGCGAAACGGGGAATCATAAATACAATGAATATTTTGGTATTTATGACAAATATAATGTACAGTTGGGAAGAATTAGCTATTTTATTGAATAGTATATTTTATTATTTGTCTATGAGTAAAGACGAATAGAGGTGAACAAAATTTCGCAGATACTTTTGCAAATATGGTCATTTTCAACAACTTCAAATAATCCAAAATACAAGTCGACACAATATTCTCATCTACATTTCTAAGTAGTGTAGAAGTTAGACTATCACTGTTCAGAAATGAGCAACTTCTGTGTTCGAGTTAACTCCAAAGTTGAGCTCTTTTTGAGTTGAGTCTAGATAGATTTTCATAGCTACAAGTCCGACATTCTTTTGTTTTTTCCACTAAATCATATCAGATTACTTCGTTATAGAAGCAAAATAAACAACTGCGAAATAAAATGAAGAGAAAAATAAACTAAGATGAAAAAAGTACTTATGAAAGCTGAAGTTGAACTTCGCCTAAGTTACGCATTTCTGATACTAGTTAAAAAGTTGTGACAGTAAATGTTTGATGTTCGAAAAATTGATGTAACAGCGGTTTTTTTGAAAAGCATGTCAGAGACTTTCAGAAAAATGCATACATTAAGGCCCTCCCCCCCGAGTCAGAAATCTATCTCGATAACCAGAAGTCTGATCTGAGCAAAAATTTTGGAGAATCTTGGGCACGTTGAGAAATAATTACAATATAATTTTAGTGACTCCCTCTATCACTGTTTATGAGATGTCGCCCGAACATGGGTCAAAATGGGGCATCCACCGTCTAGCAGATTTCTCCTCTCAGAAAACAGCTGCAGAGCTTGGACTGGTTTTGAAATATGAAATGAAGTTAGAGTAACGACGTAAAAGTGACAAATTTTTGTGTTTTATTTTCTAAAGGATTGCACCTGAAAAGTTCGAAAAACGCGGAAAAACTGGTGTATAACTTTCAAGAATGTAAAAGAATGGTGGTCTAAATCAAAAATCTGGTTCTTTTACGTTGTTTCCATATGTCTTAGCTTCAATTTGAGATCAATCCGCGATCTCTAGCGCTTAATTTAACGGCGAATCTTTCGGACAGTGTTTATCACATAGGAAAAACCCGCTTTTAGTGTATGACACACGTCTAGGGCTCTTAATAAAACTGTCATAACTTTTGATCAAAGCATCGCTGGGTGCTGGCAGACGTTTCATTTTACCACAAATGTTCACGAACTGGAGTCATTAGAATTTTTTTTGATTCCGACATTTCATTGAAATGTTACCAGAATTTCAGAAAAATCAGATTTCTAGGGCGTTTAGAAGATTTATGCAAAATCCAAATAATTTAATAGATGACCTTTTTCTGAGAATATTATTAATAACAGCATGATTGGGAGATAATAAGTTTCTCCTTTTATGTAAAACTTCATTGTTACGGTATGTATTACACATATCTGACTCATTCGATGGAAAAAACAGAAGAAAACTGAGCAACACCCGATTTAATCGATGTATTTTTTAACCTACAAATGAAATAATGCAATAAGGAAACGAAGACAATAAATTTTTCTAGTTCTCGAATATATAACAGATAGATCAAGAGTCAAAAGAAAACATGAATCGATATTTATTCTGATTTTTTCAATGCTTTCAAACGCTCCAGTAATATTGGATGTGAATAATGATACATGGCATATAATGGATCAGAATAGGGATAAGATAAATTATCTTTTTCTAATTTTTTTAATGCACTACATAGTGGTGTAACTTGTCCGAGTTTCGATGCAAAATGATCAGCTTGAAATTCAAAACGTCGTGATAATGCAGTCATACAAAATGAAAATAGCTGAAAAAGACAAATAATAAAAATATTTATCAAACGTTACGAGTTTTTGCTTACTTCAAAATAAGGTGATAATACGTATTGAAGTATAATAAGTAAACCTATTAATATTGGGTGACTTTTTTCAAAACCGAATGCACGATATAATACGGAACGTTTGAATAGAGCAGCAAACACGGCAAAAACCAAAAATAAATTTAACTAAAACAAAAGTGAAGAACCGATTAAAAGTATATTTATCAAAACAATTCTAAGATTATAGATTACTTACAAATGAGATGAATAAATTGCACAAATTATGATTCAATTTCCAGTGGCCTAGAATAAGAAAAAATAGTTCATGTTAATAAACTTGTTGTTGCATCGATCTCAACCACTTACCAAATTCATGAGCAAGTACGGCTAATACTTCTTCTGTTTCACAACCTTTTTCCTTTTTGGGTAAATCTGCAGTATTTTTTGACGACGTTGTTGTTTCTTCAGCAGATCTATCTCCCGAATTTATTCCAGTTTTTCTTTGGACAAGATCCGCTGATTCTTTCAATGACTCATTACCAATAGTTTCAGATTTTGACACAGTATCAGCATTCTTATCCTATAAACAAATAAATATGTACTAAAAATTGTAAAAGATGAATAGTAAAAATGGTCAATTTACCCCCTCTGTTTTATCCTTGTCAGATTTAAGTATATAACCTTTTATTAGTGTATCGAATAAAACAATACGTTTTGCTTTGAAAAAGCCATAGAAATAGGCATTACTATGTGCAGTTCTTGCAGATCCTAAAGTTAAAACATTGGACTATTACGAAAGTTGAACATGCATATGAAAAGAAAAGTAAAACGAAGAACGAACCTTCAACAACATAGATTTTTGTCAGTGGAAATTTGATTTTTGCTGCTAAACCTTCAATCTTTTCTTTTAATTCTCCATCTCGTAACGGATCGTAACGATCAAATAAGGGTGCAATGTAATTTGGATAGATAAAAGCAATAGCCTGAAAGGAAATGAATACCATCAATAGTTGCTAACAAGTGATATAAATGGCGTGTTCATACCAGTGATATTATGGTTAAAAACAACCATGCGTAAATAAAAAAGTAATCACCACCAATTTTGATTATATTAATGAGCAATGCAGCAATAGGGACGGCCAACACGAGTGAAACAACCAACTTCTTAATAGTGTCTTTGATGTAAAACGGAACTGTCTATAATAAAAAAAATCAGATAGTAGATGATAGTGGCACAATATTCTTTGTTTTACCTGCTTGTTAAATCCATGTCGTTCTTCAAGAACAAAATGATAATAATAACTCCACGGCAAATTCGTTACGGTTGAATATATCATCATGACACAAATAAATAAAATCGATTGTAATACCTAAACAAATCATTATTACGATTAAGAATTTCATCATTTTAAAATGTAAGTTATTATTTTTTAAAACAAAATCAATAGTATACTTCGTAATTTTTATAATCATATTTTGCTAAAACGTTCCCACATTTGTTCCATAACCATGGTAATACACCCACTAATAGCAGAATCTAAAAACATATCTTTCCAAATACTTTTAAACTTATGTTTGTATCAATCTTCTATTACCGTTGTTTCAATTTCGGAGAAAAATGAATGAACTTCACTATAGCGCATTTTATCTATGGCATATGATTTTGCTTTTTGCAATTCTTCTTCTGTCATCAAGTCTTTCAATTCCGCTGGTACATTTCTGGGCTTTTTGTAATTTTCGTACTAAAAATTTAAAGAGATCAAAATGAATTACTATGAAAACAAGTGAAAACCATACTGACCTGTCTGTACGATAAATAATGTTCCCACAATGATACAACCCATGAAAAACAGATGAATAGAATCAATAATGTACCAGGTGCGATTTTGTCCAAAAATGAAAAATATTGTTCGAGAGATGACACCAAAAAGACCATTTTGATATTGTTCTTCTAATCTAAAATCAACAAGACTAGTGAACAATAAGCATAGAAAAAACCGAAAAGTTAGTTCAAATGCGAAATACCATCATGTTGGAGTTCGCATCTTAGTTAACCCAAACTATCGTTAGACCGGCTGTGGTCTAGATCGAATAAGGAAAAAAAACCTTATTAGGACAGTCCCTTGTGGAACTAAAATGGTGAAACTCCATTACATTAGCCGAAAAATGGTATTGAGAATAGTATACACTAACATAGAGGAGCAACGAAAATTGCAGCTGCCTTTTAAGATGAATACACTACCTTTTCAAGAGGGATTAGGCATGCAACGGTTACGGTTAACCGTTCGACCGGTTATTTACGGTTACGGTTAACCGTTCGACCGGTTATTTACGGTTACGGTTAACCGTAACCGGTGCATGCCTAAGAGGGATACATCACTCTGTTAAAATGATTACACTACCCTATGGAGAAGAATACATCATCAGGTTTTTGATGAATACACCCCGGGGCAGGTTAAAAAAAAGTCAAAATCAAGGCTTTTTGAGCATAAAACTTACTAAAACAACTTATTCTCATTTGGAGATACTGTAGGAGTTTTAAAAAACGGATGTAAGGACATAAAGTCATAGTCTAAAACTTGAGAAAATCGCTCTTTACTTGATCACAACTAATTCTTTATAAACAAATACTGCGTAGAGTGAGGTAAAAAGTGTCCTTTTATACCAATAATCACAAAAACAAGTATTTTTGACTCTTCAAAGTTTGATCACAAGTTACTCAAAAAGTAAATCAAACATTGCACTCTTTTCTTTTACTGAGTACAATTTAGTATATACTGGAAATGAGTAAAACAATAAACAATAGATAATGGTACATACAAGGAATGCGTCTTTTGTGCTGTGACAGTTTTTCGTGTACACTAAAATAAGAAGTGTAATTTTTGTGTCCTCTATATAGTGGTATTTTATGTACATGTAGAATTATACTCTTCAACAAAAAATACTTGTTTTTCTTGTGTATTCAAGAATGAACACACTTTGCATGTTTCCCTCATACGCGTGTTTTTCACAAT